ATGAGGTGAATTCAGGTCATTTAAACATAGTTCTGTGCTGTAAAGTTAGACCAACGTCACACTTGGGAAGCTGGTCCTCTCTTTCCTTTCCGTTCTCAGCTCTGTAACAAAATCACTGTTTTCCACCAAAAGTCATTTCCCCCTCTCCTCTGACACAGAACTAGTCTGCATGAGATATGGTCTCAAGGTCTCGTGCATTTGTTATGAACTGCTTCTTTCCAGTTCAACAGAAGAATGAAGAATGGACTCTCTCCTTTTAATAAATCAAATAACTCTATTTTAATAAAGCTAATCAAACAAAGTGTTAGTCAATAATAAGATGTAACAAATCTGTGAAATCAAAATATTAATTACTTTATTATAATCCTATAGAATATAATAAGTAATATGACTTTAAATGTTTCCACTAGGACTGATCTCACGTAGCGTTAAGACATGACACATTGCTTTCACTGATCCAATCAGAATCTGCCAGATCTGACGGAGGCGTGGTTTTGGTGGTGTTTGGTAAATCTGTCATCTTTTCATTCGACCATAAACCAAAACATCCGAAGTATAAAACTATGCCCACGTCATCTTTAACACCAGTTCAAATCCGTAACTTTCCTCTTCAGCCGAAAGAACCAACGACACGCTGGATAAAATCTGTTGCTGTTCCACCTGCTGCAACGGTTCCTTTCAGAATAAAAGCTGAACCACACGACCCAGTTTTCGGTCTCACCAGATGCCAACTAAATTGTCGTGATCCGGAAGTATCTCACAGACTGGTGGTCGGCTGCCGCAGCTGCTTCTACAGACTCCGGCTCTACAAGGTCAAGCTGGACCTTTACACCTCCTGATCTAACGGGGACTTCCGCTAAGGGTATGCAGACCGACAAATGGCGTTGAATGTGTTTATGAATCTCCAAATCAAAGCTTAGCGCGAAGACATCACCTTCATTTCCCATCAGAACTAATCGCTTCTTCGGATTTGCTGGTTCTGAACAACATTCCACACTACACCATTTTCTGTCTCATTCACCTTAGTTACACCATACATTTAGTGTTAAAGTTAGTCTAGTTTAATTTGTTTAGTAATAAATCTTTAAACTTTTAAACTTGACTCTCTCTCTCTTCTGTTGTCTCTGAATTAATACGAAGCTGTTAACTAATCTCTGCAGTAAAAAGTTCCGATCTTCTGGTTTAAAATAACCCAACAGATCCATAAGGGTGATTTCATATATCCTATGGAATCCGGCTTATTAAATAACATGTAATTTAAATCATTACAGCTCCACCACAGATGTTTTATGTGAGGGTAATAGCATCTAGTTAGTAAAACTGTAGCGTGTATATAAGAATAACAAGACAGAGGTGTTACTGTGAAACAACAAGAACAAACGACCATCACCAGAGCAACGACCACATAGACATCCTGTCATGACAGAGGAGAGGAGGTGCTGACGGAGCCACAGGAGGCTGAGGTGGATGTGAGCAAGCTTGACCAGAACAGGAACTCAGCAGAGAGAACTGCTTGTTTTCTTATTAGTCAGGCGGCTGCACACATAAAAACATCTCTCTGCTCTGTGGGCCAAAACATCTCAGTATGCTTATTCAATTCAATTCAATTCACTTCAAAAATACTTTATTAATCCCAGAGGGAAATTGATTGCTGTAGTAGCTCAGAATAATAATAATAATCAAGTCATCAAAGAGGTGTTGTATATTACAATGGCTGTTGGCAGGAAGGATCTCCAGTAGCGGTCAGTGTTGCAGCCAAACTGAAGAAGCCTCTGACTGAAGACACTCTTCCGTTGTCGGACAGTCTCGTGAAGAGAATGCTCAGGGTTGTCCATCATTTTCTTGATTCTCTGGAGAATCCTTCTTTGCATCATCTCCTCCAGCGGTTCTGAAACTGCCGAAACTCTGGCTGAGTCCTTGAAAGGGCTTGGAGTTCCTCCATCTTGTTGGCCAGTGATCTCACATTGCCCGTTATGATCGATGGAAGAGATGGTTTGAATTTCCTCTTTCTCTGTCTCCGTTTTGCTCCCGCTCTGCACCCACGCTTCTTGCGTTTTTGCTCATTTGGGATTTGTGGCTTCAGTTGAGGTATTATTTCAGCCTTGTCCAGAGACAAGCCGCATGAACCATAAACGCTGCGAGTTGTGAAGCGCGTTCCATCCGCGAGCCGCATCACCAAGCGGAAAGTAAACGTGTCAAGCATAAACCTTGGTAAACAAATATTCTCCCAAACTGTAGGGGGCAGCATGGAGCTCTACGGCATGCATCCAACACTACACCATAGTAGAAGTAGAAATTACTGTTTACAACATGGCATTATGGTATTTTTAACAGCGTCCTCGTCTTTTCCGACAGTGCGAGCTATTTCGCTCCAAGAATTATTAACAACATGTTGATCACGGTGATCTCTGAGAGCTGAATCATACAAATGTCTGTATTTACGAACCTCTGCCATACTAGTTCTTGCCGGTCCGCCATGTTTTTCCCTGTTAGACCGTCCGCGTGGTTAGACAATTTCCTAGGTGCGCGATGCGGAAAATTTGGGCCGTGCGGAAGTGCGGTGGAGGGGCGTGGTTGTTAAAATGAGGCAATTTTGCCGTGCGAACCTCGCGGACATAAACCAAGCTTTATAGAGTCAGAACCACCACTCCCTGGGGTGATTTACAACACAACAGTCATTCACCCATTCACACTCTGATGGTGATGAGGAAAGGAGTGAGAAGTGTCTTGCCAAGGACACGACGACTGTGACATTAACAGTTTTGGATAGACCTTAGCCCTATTAAAAGTCATAATTTGCCCCTTTAATGTAGTTCTGGTTCCCTTGAGCAGAGACAAACGTTTTGTGTCAGTTGACCACAAGCACTTGAACACTAGTGTTTCCCAACCCTGGTCCTCAGGGACCACTGCCCTGCATGTTTGCCACGTCTCTGCTTCAGCACACCTGATTTACACCGGCTCCTCAGGGGGACATCAAGTCCTGCAGATGTCTGTTAATCACTCACTCGCTGAAGTCAGGTGTGTGGCAGCAGAGACACACTGGTGTTTAAACAGGTGGTGTCTGCTGTAAACAATTTAAAATGCATCTACGAAAGTACATCGTGTGATATTGTATTTCTGTATTTAGTTTAGAATTACAAGGATAATGTGAGACACATGAAGTATTTCAGTCTGGTATGACAACAGGAGGACATTGTTTTCCTCTCAGGATAACCTTTGACCTCAGAGGCACATGCAGACAGCAAGCATCTGGTGCTTTCCAAACCAAATGTAATGTATATAAAATGCTGCAGATGCCGAACCTGTTTACGTGGTCAGATGATCAGCTCTGGCTGTCACAGCAACTATGATGCAGAAAGACGTGGCGCGTGCAGGAAGTTCACCTTATATGGAAGCGAATGAGCCTCAGTTCTTAAAGATAATATGACACCACGAGCCACTGGTTAGCGACTCTGAGGAGATGCAGTTCCTCATCTCCCTTTATGGGAGGGGACAGTTTCCTCAGAGGACAAACGTGTGCTTTGGGCGTTGGTCGGCGGGAGACCGGATTGGACCGGGATCGCCTCCAGATGCATGAATGAATCTTTACGGACATGGACTGGATTATAACAAACTTGTTATCTTTTTATTCTAAACTTTGTCATCATCACTCCAAGATACAGAACCAGCTCAGCATGAAAATTAGCCTTAAGGGCAACATGGAAAGCATGCAAGACAGTGTGCCCAGAGGCCCAGGGTTGGGAAACTCCTGTAGAAGGCCTCATCAGCTCAACACAGGATGCACCTGACCAGCTTTGGTCTTCGAAGTGTTTAGATTCACGTCTTCTCTCGGCGTGATGTTTGTTTCAAATCACGGGCCTTAGTGCACTCGTTACTTTGGGGACACGGCCACATCTTAGTGTTGTGTGGGGATTTCAGTAAAGATCTCGGGGTCCTGTAAGGTCATGAGGTGATTCATGCTGTCCGGTCTGCTGCTGCCCTCTGATGGCCAGAAATGTAACTGCACAGAGCTGATTGTTCTGATCCAAATCGAGTCAAGTTGAGATTGCTATGAAACACTGAATATTTATATCAACAGCAACGATAATAACATTAATAATAAATCGATATAGCACTTTTCAAGGCACCCGTGACAATAAAATTGTACACTGATGGTGAACTAAAACTTAAAAGGAAGCTTTGAAATAGACAAATCAAATACCACATTTTGTGTTTTACTGCGAAGCATCAGTGGATTAAAATAGAGAAATGTTCAGGCCAAAGGTTTTTTAGAGAGTAACACTACAAAGAAGTTTGCATCATTTCAAACCCCTTTGGCCACTGACGTATGAAGACAATTCATTGATAATCAGATATTGATGAATTATAAAGTGCTGACATCACTTTAGCTGTGAGGGTCTGACTCCTCCTGTGGGTCGCTCTGCCAGCTGCTGGTGTCTGGTCTCAGTTTGAAGTCTAATTGTAAATGGCCTGTATTTGATATAGCGTCTTCTAGAGTCCTGGAACCCCTCAAGGCACTTTACAACACAACCAGTCATTCACCCATTCACACACCCATTCACACACTGGTGGGGATGAGCTACATTTAATCGGATGATGAGAGATGTGCTCTAACTTGTAAACAGCCTTGTAAAGCAGGATAGCCTAATAAAGAAGTAATGAGATAACCCCAGTAGAGCCAACAGATACTAAGTCAGTCTACAGTGAAATGCTACAAGAATTATTAGACGTTCACATTTGGTGATTTTCAGGCTCTTTTATGAAAGAAACTGAACCTGGTTTGTTGCTAAACAGGAAAGGATGTTTATTATAGCGATGAGTTCACATTTTCTTCAAAATAAAACTCCTCAAGATCTGCTGTAAACATAAAAACCTGCAGCTAGGGAAAAAACTATTTCCTCTTACACGAAATAACCAATCGTAGAAGAGAAGAGCCCTTCCAGCCAATCAGAGGCGAGAAAGGCGGGACCTTCCTTGGAAATCCTACAATTCCAAATGACGCCTCCGGGTCTGCAGCGACTATTGGGTGCCTGGTTTGTTAACCGATTATTCTTCAATAAAGATTTTTTTAATAACACGAACAAGCCGACATGTCTCCGCTTTCCAACCCGTTTATCCTGGCAGGAAGAAGATTGTTTACCGGGAGTTTAGGGCAAAGACATTGCTTTTTGAATGCCCGTAGTCCAAGACGCCATTCATCTGTAACAAGTAGGGTTAACGCTGGGATGTGTTTCTGTCACACTAGTAGCTAGCTAGCTAGCTAGGTAGGCTACCAAGCTAAAGTCAAGTGAAAGAATTTATTGCGGACTCTTGGTCCAGTTCACAAAAAGAAAAGAGGCATAAAATAACAATACGACACACTAAAATATGAGAAAAGGTGAGGCTATGTTTGCATTTCTAAACTTCGCAAGTTTAAACCTGACAGAATAATTTTCAGTTGAAAATAAAAGTCTATAAATCACTATTATAAATCATCGCCTCTGTCTGCGCGCCCCAGGGCAGCTGTGGCTACATCGTAGCTCATCACCATCAATGTGTGTGTGAATGGATGAATGATTCACTGTAGTGTAAAGCGCTTTGGAGTCCTTACTCTGAGAGGCGCTATACAAGTGCGGGCCATTTATCATTAATGATTAATATAAAGTTCTTAAGACACTCGTGATTGTTCGTCTGCTGATCATATTTCATCTGTGTTTAGCTGAGCTGATGGAAAATATGGATCAGAAGTCCACCTGGGACCGGTTCTACACCGAGAACAACAACAGAGCTTCCACCTTTAAGAACTTCGAGTGGTTCTTTGGTTTTGATTCTGTCAAGGACTTCATCATGCCCCTTTTGCAGACTGGGCACCATCAAGATGTTCTGCTCCAGGTACTTGATCTGGGCTGTGGCACGTCTGCATTGGGCTTGTCTGTTTACAGCGAGTCCTCTGTCCCAGTCCGAGTTACCTGTGCTGACGTGTCCCCCGTAGCTGTGCAGCTGATGCAGGAGAACATTCGACATAAAGCCATCAAAGCTCGGCATCATTCTTCTCGTGTGGAGTTCGTGGAGCTTGACTGTACACAGCTGGACAGGTACTTCGGTTCTCACAGTCTGGACCTCATCATTGACAAGGGAACCACAGACGCCTTGTTGAGGTCCAGGGAGGGAAAGGGGAAGGCTGCCCTGGTCCTGAAGCAGTGTTTAAAGGTGCTGCAGAGTTCTGGATCTCTGCTCCAGTTCTCAGATGAGGATCCAGATGTCAGACTTTTGTGGCTTGAAGCAGCTGTGAAGGAGCAGGGAGCAGCAGCTGTCGGGTTTCAGGAGGTCGGAGAGCTCAGGGGAGTTTTTTACTACTGCTACCATGTGACCCCCCATCCTGTTGGGCAGCATTGATATTAATGTCATTGATATTAAACAGAAGGTATTGGTTCTCATGAATAATCTGATGTGGTGCTGTCTCATTAATGCCTATCTGCTGCCACCTAGTGGCCAGATGGTGTGTTTCATCTTACTGGGCTCACTGGTCCCTCCAGGGCTACCTCTGCTGCAGTACAGCTGTTTGTAATCAATTGGTAAATAACAGGATTCTGCACAGCTGCTGAACAGGTGATTCAGCCAGGTGTACGTGAGCAGAGAAACAACTAAAACGGGCTGGATGGTGGCCTATGAGGACCAGAGTTGGGTGTCGCTGTTCTGTAGAGTAAAAACCCAAAATAAATATGTTGATTAAAAAACAAATTCCTAAGAAGCTCAGAGAGAAGTGACAGCAGAACTAGACCCCAGCGTGTTTATACTTCCTGCTGTGATTTAAAACTTTGGGTTTTGTTACATCGCTGCCGTGAGCCGACCCTGTGTGTAAAACGATTATTTAACATCAGTAACAAGACAATCTTACAATCAGAATGTATTATTCAGTTTGTCGGAACACACGGGAAGAGTTGGGATACAAATTAAATCAAAGGTCTGAGTGATTATCAACAGTTGTCTAGTTTGAGCCAACAGCTGATTTCTGATCAGCCAGGACTTTCTCTCTCTGGACTTATTTCAGATTAGAAGATTAAACAGATCAGTCTCTGTTTAATTAGTCATGAATAAAATCAGATTTAAAAACAAAGAAAAGGAAATGAATTTTTTTATTTCCAGTTCTTCAGCGATCAAACGGTGAACAGGCTGTCTTCTCAGGATGGTTTCCAGTTTCTAACCTTTAATGATTTAAGCCACAGATCCAGGGATACACTTTAAACCATTTCAGTAAAAGTAAAATGATAAAGAACATGTCTCTAATCAAAATAAAAGATGAGCAGCAGCAGGAAGACTGAGCTCTAAATGATTATTTACTGATTTAAACTGCTTACAGCGTGTTTAAAGTGAATATTCAGCCCAAAGACTCATGTTTGGTTGGTAGTTCAGTGAACTGGTTCTCTTAAGAAGTGCTATACAAGTACAGGCCATTTACTATCTTCTAGAAACCAGGTAGATGGTCTGGGCTTCAGGGCATGGTGCATTATCCTGCTGGAAGTAGCCATCAGAAAATTGATCCACTGTGGTCATACAGGTATGGACGTGGTCAGCAGCAATAATCAGGTAGGCTGTGGGGTTTAAACCAGGCCCAAGTGGGACCAGAACACACACAGCATTATACCACCACCAATGTCTGCCATAGATGACCAAATGCATGACTCTCTGCTTTCTGATCACCTGGTTTTGTTTGTTAACAAGTGTAACGGAAAGAAATGACTGTTTTCCACCTAAAAGTCACCCCCCCCTCCTCAGCAGGAACTAATCTGCATGAGATATTATTGTTCAAGATCTCACGCATCTGCTTCTAAACTGTTTTCCTTTCCAGCTCAAGAGAAGAATGAAGACAAAGAACTCTATTTTAATAAAGCTAATCAAACAGTGTTAGTCAATAATAAGATGTAACCAATCTGTGAAATCAAAATATTAATTACTTTATTATAATCCTATAGAATATAATAAGTAATATGACTTTAAATGTTTCCACTAGGACTGATCTCACGTAGCGTTAAGACATGACACGTTGCTTTACTGATCCGATCAGAATCTGCCAGATCTGACGGAGGCGTGGTTTTGGTGGTGTTTGGTAAATCTGTCATCTTTTCATTCGACCATAAACCAAAACATCCGATGTATAAAACTATGCCCACGTCATCTCTAACGCCAGTTCAAAGCGTTCTAGAGAAGTTGTCGGAGTGGCCAATCCGTAACTTTCCTCTTCAGCCGAAAGAACCAACGACAAGCTGGATAAAATCTGTTGCTGTTCCACCTGCTGCAACGGTTCCTTTCAGAATAAAAGCTGAACTCACTGACCCTCCGGGCCCATCTGACACTGTCAACCGTCGCTTTTTACCTGGAGACAATCCAAAGACTAGTCTGTCGTACTGCTGACGTGGTTTCATCAGCTCCGGTACCGAAAGAGGGGTCCGAGGACCTGGCATTCTGGATCTGTACGGAGGTCTCATTCTAAGGGTATGTGTGGAGTGAAAAAAATGGCATCTTATGAGTTTATGAATCTCCAACAAAGCTTAGCGTGAAGACATCACCTTCATTCCCACCAGAACTAATCGTTTCTCCGGATTTGCTGGTTCTGAACAACATTCCACACTACACCATTCTCCGTCTCATTCACCTTAGTTACACCATACCTTTAGTGTGTTAGTCTAGTTTAATTTGTTTAGTAATAAATCTTTAATCTTTTAAAACTTGATTATTCTGTTGTCTCTCAGTCAATACGAAGTGTCATGGATGTAATTTTCACTTTAGAAGTGGGGGGGGGGGGGGGTATCTTTACAGTATGCTCTAATGGGAAACAGGCTTCAACACAAACGGTTGTTTTCTGCTTGGTCCTAGAGCTCAACCAGTGTCAGTTTAATATAAAGTAATATTGTTTTTGGATGGTAAAAAGTGCAGGGGTCAAAGCTTGACTTTGGAAAAGGTAACCCCCCCCCCCAAAATTACGTCCATGCGAAGTGTTACATAATTCCTGTAATAAAAAGTTCCAATCTTCTGGTTAAAAGCAACCAAAGATCCATAAGATTGATTTCATATTTTCTATGGAATCCCGTCTTATGGTCCATTAAATAACATGTAAACTAAACCCTTTACACAAGCATATGTACAGGCTGCATTCCATTCCTACATCTACATGTTGGATGCTTCCTGTAAAAGGAAAGCATCCCTGCCTTCATCACCCTTTCAAAGCCAAAAGGCCACCATTAAACAAGGCTGCTGTGGTTTTAATGCGTCCCTATTTAACAAATGTTTAGTAGTTTTAGGTGACAAATGCAGGAGAAAACACATAAGATGTAAATCGTTTTAATAAAACTCAATGAAACGCAGTGTAACAAATGAAGAAAAATCAAAGTAGATAACATTTACAACCACGAAAGAAAAAAACTGTACAACTCTAAACAGCTGGAGTCATTTCTATTTTCAACAACTTTTTTTTTAACCTTTTTCTGTGATGACTGATGGAAAACCCGGGGTTTGGAGTAACGGGGTAAAGGAGGCATGTCGTGTGATTTCATGTTTTTATTTTTCCAAATAAAAGTATCATCTTGTACACAGATGTATGTTTCATCAGCATGGCTGTTGAACGCGCTGCTGCAGGAGGGTGGAGGGGGCGTGGTCAGGAGTGTCATTTGTACAAGATGTCATAATGGCCCGGTCTATAGAGCAGGAAGAGGCGAGGGTCGCCTCCTTCAGGGAAAACATGATGATTGACAGTTCCTCCTTCCCCTCTGTCCATGTACTCCACCAGGATGGAGACGTTCAGAGCCTGGGCTAAGGCGATGATGTGAATGTGGTCACTTTCTTTAGACATGGGCTCTACTTCCTAAAGACAAGATGAGAGGAGAGCATCACATCGATCCAGGAAAAGCACGACAGGTCACTTACATCTATCACCATGGTAACACTGAAAACTAAACCTGCTGCTCAGCAGGTGATGTGCAATTGAAACAAATTCCTCTACTTTTGTTGTGAGAGGATTTTCCAAACACGACTGGGTGTTACTACCACATCATTTATCTTGGAATAATGAGCTTTGAAAGAAAAGCGTCTGGACTTCTTTGAGTTGCTTGAAGACGTTTCACCTCTCATCTGAGAGGCTTCTTCAGTTCCAGTGTTGGGAGTAACGCGGTACAAAAGTAATTAACTACTGTAATGCATTGCTTTTTGCTGTAATGTGGTAATGTAAGGCATTACAGGGAAAGAAAATGGTAATATTTACTCGGTACAATTGTCAGTAACGCGGTAATTACAATGCATTTTTAAACCCAGAATCAAGATGTGTTCCTTAAAAATTCAAATTGCGGGAAACCCGAAGAAAGATCCAGTATCTGCATATATTACGTCATTTATGGACTCAGCTTTGCGGGCAGAGAGGACGCCGACGTAACGGCTCAGCTACATCCCACACGCGGCCGCAGTAACATTCACAAAATCGCTCCACTAAAACAAAATAATTCACTTGCGATCGTTCATATCAGCGCATGTTCTCTGGTATTTTGTGCTTTTCTGAAGTGCTTTGCCTCAGCTGAGTCCATAATCTGGGCCCCGGTGATTTTAACTCATTGCTGCTGGTGCGCCGCGCATGTGAAGATCCCTTTGGCTGATAGTTAGAAAGTAGGAAGTCTAGGAAACAGTTTTTTCTGGAAGACGGAGAAAACATGCAGCATGCAGGAAGGTTAGAGAGAGAAAGGGCCGGCAATTATTCAAATAAAATCAAGAAAAAAAAGAAAAAAGTAGGTAGATTTATCCCCAATACACATTTTTACCAGTGAAAAGCAATAATATATAAGCATTTAATATTTATACATGTGATAGAATCAGATCACCCCAGAAGTCAGTCCCACATCCAGGGCCGTATCAAGGCATTTGGGGACCAAGGCAAATATAGGCTTGGAGCCCCCACCACCTCACTCCCTGCTCAGTTAATATAAGATGGCAGCGTGCTGAGAGTACAGATTGTTGTTGTTTTTATTTAATAAACAATCATTTTAAAGCACTGTTATTATATCTGACTGTTTTTAACAGCAATCCTAGCTCAGACACCACATCACCTTCCACATATATGTCATGAGCTCACTGAGCGTCACATGACCAGATTCATACTGAAGTTGTTTTGGTGAAAGTAACTTAAAGTAATGCAAAAGTAGTGTAATGCCTTACATTTTAAAATCAGTAATATTGTAATGTAATGAATTACTTTAAAATGAGGGTAACAAGTAATAAATAATGCATTACAGTTTTGAAGTAACTTGCCCAACAGTGGCCAGTTCTAAGGTCAAATGGTGGAGAGTCCCCGTTTTGAGATCCCTTCCCAGATGCCTCAACGCATATCCTAGGCCATCTGACCTCAAAAATTCACATGATAGGGAGGGGCCAGGCTTCACAATGAGCTCACCCGAAACTCTGGCTGAATAGGACCCACACCCACCCTCACACCTTGGCTTATGTGTTTATGTAGAAGATCATCAGGGGGTCTTTTGTTCCCTCTTTGGGGGGGGGGGGGGGGGAACTCCCACTGGGGTTTAAATCTGGGACTCTCCACCATTTGACCTTAGAACTGAAGAAGCCTCTCGGATGAGAGGTGAAACGTCTTCAAGCAACTCAAAGAAGTCCAGACGCTTTTCTTTCAAAGCTCATTAGACTACAATGACCTGGATGACTGAGAACCTTCACAGACATATTACCTTGGAATACTTTCACTTTTCCTCAGACCGACTCAGTTACACATCTAGCATAAATCTTCTGTTGGCCCAAGTCACTCACTGTCTACATCAGCGAGTTTAGTATGTAGAAACAGCGGCTAACTGTACGGTTAATTTTGGTGGTGTTGGAGATGCTGTACAAACCCATCACCCCCAAAATTAGTTTCTCATCGGACCTACACAAATCACGTAGGCGACACATTTTGGATTGAAAACGGCCGATTTCACCGAGAGGTGAGGGACTTTCATGCTTGTATCAGGATTCTGTTGGGGGTTTCAGTGGTGTTGTGTTTAAACAGCCTGTAAAATAACTGAACTTTGACATTTTTAGTTTCATACTTTAAACTGGGTTCAAGTCTGCTTCCAGCCTGAGACTGCATTTAAAATGTTCCCTGTTGTCGTGTTGAATAAAGGCATCAGAGCTCAACCGATGATGAATTTTCATCTCAAAGTTCAGATATTCAGAACTGACTCATCAGAATCGGCCATCCTGGAACCAAAAGCTTTCCTCTCTGGACATCAAATATTAGCCGTCTGGAGGGAACAGCAGTGACTCTACAGGTGTGAAGCTCGGTGAACTGTCCCATTCACAAAGACGGTTTCCATGTTTTATACAAAACTTCTGCCAACAAACCTTCTGAGGAAGAGACCCAGAGTCGCTCTCCACAAACCCACCTGCTGACAGAACTCTTTGACTGAGCGCCCCCCCTCGATGAAATGCTGGAAAAAGCCATGCTCTCGCTGCAAATAGCCCGAAGTGAGGAGTCGCAGGTAAACAACCACGTAGTCAGACACATTCTGGTCATTGAAGGAGCTCAGCAGCTCCTGCAGGCTTGGCTGTTTCTCACACAGTTCGATCAAGTCCATGAACTAGAGGCAAAGAGATGTTTATTTACAGATGAAAGTCTTAAAGCACAACAGCAAACAAACCAAAGATGGCATCAATAGTGATTTTCTCATAAACATTATCTGTGGCCATTGTTTGAAAATAAGTAAACACACTGTTAGTAGGAACTAAGTCAGTGACTAATTAGAAAACCAACCATCACCACTCACAGCTACAGTATCGATGGACTTTTGCCAGGAACTAAGAAAAAAACAGGAATTAGTTGCACCGGAGCATACAAGTGTGTGTTAACTCAAAGAGGAGCATTAGATGCCAATCCATCTGGGAAGGGTCAAAGGTAATTTCCAAAAAACCCAGTGATTATTCCATCCATTCATTTTCAGCCGCTTATCCGGAGTCGGGTCGGTGGGGCAGCAGCCTAAGCCGAGACACCCAGACTTCACTCTCCCCAGCTAACTGGGCCAGCTCTTCCGGGGAAATCCCAAGGCGTTCCATGGCCAGCCAAGAGACTTAGTTCTTCCAGCGTGTCCTGGGTCTTCCCTTGGGTCTCCTCCCATTTGGACGTGCCTGGAAAACCTCACCAGGGAGGCATCCAGGACGCATCCTGACCAGATGCCCTAGCCACCTCAACTGGCTCCTCTCAACATGGAGGAGCAGCGTGTCTACTATATATCTCGTTCTTTCGGTCACTATCCAAAGGTCGCGACCAAAGGTGAGGGTTGGAATGTAGATCGACTGGTAAATCGAGATCTTCGCCTTCCAGCTCAGCTCTCTCTTCACAACAACAGACCGGTACAACACCCGCATCACTGCAGATGCAGCACCAATCTGCCCATCAATCTCACGCTCCATTTTTCACTCACTCGTAAACAAGACCCCGAGATACTTAAACTCCTCCACTTGGGGCAGGACCTCATCCCTGACCCGGAGAAGGCATTCTACCCTTTTTCGAATCAAGACCATGGTCTCAGATTTAGAGGAGCTGACTCTCATCCCAGCCGCTTCGCACTTAGTTGCGAACCGCTCTTGCGAAAGCTGGAGATCACAGTCGGGTGAAGCCAACAAGACAACATCATCTGCAAAAAGCAGAGACCTGATCCATAGGCCACTATAACAGATCCCTTCAACACCTTGGCTGCGCCTAGAAATCCTGTCCATAAAAGTTATGAACAGAATCAGTGATAAGAGGCAGCCTTGGCGGAGTCCAACTCTCACCGGAAACGAGCCCGACTTACTGTCGGATATGCGGACCAAGCTCGGGCACTGGTCATACAGGTACCTAAAAGCCGGTACCAGTGGGCCTGGTACCCCATACTCCCGGAGTACCCCTCACAGGGGCCCCCGGGGGAGGCAGTCGAACACCTTCTCCAAATCCACGCGTAGATTAGTTGGACGAACTCCCACGCACCCTCCCAATACCCCCCCCTTAAGTCAGCCAACATAGCCCAACAAAATTTAGAGCCTTAAGGATCTCCGCGCAGATATCACCCAGCCCCGGAACCATGCCACTGAGGAGTTTTTTGACCACCTCAGTGACCTCAGCCCCAGAGATTGGAGAGTCCAACTCAAAGTCCCCAGACTCTGCTTCCTCACTGGAAGGCATGCCGGTGGGATAGAGGAGGTCTTCGAAGTATTGCATCCACCTATCCACAACGTCCCATGTAGAGGTCAGCAGCACACCGTCATCACTGTAAACAGTGTTGGTAGCGCACTGCTTTCCCCTCCTGAGATGCCGGATGGTTGACCAGAATATCAATGAAGCCATATACAAGTCTTGCTCCATGGTCCCACACCTGCATTTTTGCCTCCACGAGCACCCAAGCCATATTCCGCTTGGACTGCAGGTATCCATCAGCTGCCTCTGGAGTCCCACAGGCCAAAAAGACCCAATACAACTCTTTCTTCAGATTGACAGCTACGCCCTTCTCTTCACCCTAGTGTTCAAGACATGCGGCCGCAGATCAGATGAAACGACAACAAAGTCAATCATCGAACTGCGGCCTAAGGTATCCTGGTGCCAAAAGCACATATGGACACCTTTATGCTTGACCATGGTGTTTGTTATGGACAATCCATGACATGCACAGAAGTCCAATAACAAAACACCACTCCGATTCAGATCAGGAGGGCCATTCCTCCCAACCACACCTCTCCAGGTCTCACTGTCATTACCCACATAAGCATTAAAGTCCCACAGCAGAACGAGGGAGTCACACTTTAAGGAGCGCTCTCCAGCACCCCCTCCAAGGACTCCAAAAAAGGTGGGTAGTCTGAGCTGCAGTTTGGTACATAAGCACATACCACAGTCAGGACCCGTCCCCCCACACAAAGGCGGAGGGAGGCTACCTTCTTGTTCACCGGGATAACCCTCAACATACAGGCACCAAGATAGGGGGGAAACAGAGATCCAGGAGCTGTCCCAGAGTACAGGGACTCCAAGGAGACCACCACCAGAAAAGCCCCTGCCCCCCTCGAGAGGCGTAGAGGATCGCCCCGGGGGGCCACAACCAGCAGCCGGCAGAGTCCCGGGAGACATCAGCGGGAGGCCCACAGGCCCACCTGCAGCCTCCCACCCCCCAGCTGGCTGAGTCCGGGACCCAGTGACCTGGGACCCAGGGGCGACCACCCCTGCCGGGGACCCAGCAGAGCCCAGGGACCCAGACCCCACCAGGCAGCCACCGGGATTGGTCAGGCAGACGCCAAAAATCTTTAACTCCCTGACCCGGGAGCCACGACCCAGGCAGACCAAGGCACTACACTCCACACCAGGTGTGGCAGGGGGAGAGGAGACGAATCATCAAAAGAAGTCCCAAGAGAAGGGAGGAGTCAAAGGCCCCACCTGACACATACAGTCATACACAAACACAGTCACACACTCCCTCCCTCATGCTCACACATGCACATACAACCAAAGACTTACAAAAATGCACACCGGACACCCACTCATGCTCCCCATACACACCCTATTCACTCTGGTCCCGGTTCTGCTGAACATGGGGTACAACCATTACCGGTTCCCAGAGTTCGACCCTTTCTGCTGGGGTGCTGACGAGCAGGCTCCCCCGCCCAACGCTGAGCACAGCAACCCACCACCCCAGACCCCAACCAGACTGCCAGATCTCCCTCCTAGCCTCCAGCCCCAGGAAGCCAAGCAACAACAGAGGTGTGCTAAGAGGTAAGGAGGTACATTTTTAAAAGTCCTTGACGGGAAACCGTGTTATTTAGTGGTGATTTTGTTTGATTTGATTAACTTTAAGCTCAAGACCGCTGCGAGATGTTCAAGCGACAGTACCCGTACTCACTGAGTGCCGCTCTGTCTCATCCCTGCAGCATGCCGTCTCTGCGACTGTGACTGGTCAAATGACAACACGTGACATACACGCTAGAACAAAGATAGTTTGTGAACAAGAGGAAGCTCCCCTTCTTTCTCTGACTGATTCTCATTAAGAGTTAAAGAAACCTGACAAGAGACTTCCCCTTACCTTCAAAACAAAAACTCTTTTAATCGATGTGATTCACCTGAACACCATATTTGGCTTCAAAAACTATGATTTGTTTAATAACGCTCTGGGGGGGCTGGAGTAACTTGAAAAGATGTTACATGAGTGCTACGTCTAAAAATATTTTATATTTTTTCATCGCTCGTGCAACATATGTCACACTGTACAGCCCTGCAAACCAAAGGTACGTTTGACAAGGGAAAAGTTTACAAGTACAACACGGCAGTGGTGTGTCCAAACAAGTTCACAGAACGATCGTTCGTAAACTTGCTGGGTTTTGTTGTGAACGTAAACTGAATTTGCTCATATTTTGCCTGATGAACGATAAAGTGAGCGTGCTCATTCTGACATGTGTGAACAGATTTATGAATGGCGCTCTCTCGCAGTCCGAGAGCTCCAGATCTCCACGGAGCTAAAACATCCTGGTAAACATTGCTGGGTTCCACTCACGTGACGTCTGCAGCCACGCAAAACTGAAATGTGGGACAGGATGTGTTTTGCTCTGCAAGAAGCACAGAGATACAACACAGCGCACACACTAAGGCTTTAAACGAGCTGGCACAGATGCAATATCGCAAACAAATACATGTTCTTTTAGGTTATGACCCATGACCCGTATAGTTTGAAAAGTCGTACTTTTCACACACTGTGGAGGATTTACCCAGCGCTGAAGCGATCTGCAACAAACTTTTGCTGCCTTCCTCATATCACACTGCAAACCAAACAACATTTTACAAGCCTGGAAGCCTACAGCTGCTTTATTTCAGGTTGATTACCCTTTTAGTGATCCGGAGAAGCTTTAAATGACGATCGTCTTGTTTTTGCTCAGGTAAGTAGTGAGTTGTGCTATTTTGTCATTAGCTCATGATAATGCTATCGCTAATGTTAACAATTAGTATGTGCTATAAGGTATAAACGCCACGTTACAACACTAAGCCAACTAAGATTTTTATGGATGTTTCTAAGCAACAGTTTAATAAAACACTCAGTAATCTCTTACCTGTTAGAAAGTGATTGCTGTAAACGCCAGCATCGTTCGTTTCTGCTCCTGTTTTAAGCCGTAGATTACTGATCCACGTTTGCAGTCTTCTTTCAGTGCGTTCATTTTATTTGAGTCCTTTGTGACGCACTACATTCAGGACTGAATTTTGGCTTTTCGACGCCCAGTCACCGAAGGAAAGTGTTTTGTGCAGCGCCGGCTACTTCTGGACCCCCATATACATTTGGTGATGTAGATGTGAAACCCAGCAATAGGCTTCACAAAAAGTAGAATCCGCAAATGCGGCCACCATACCCAGTAGCGGTCAGTGCAGCATCTACTCTTCTATGTCTATGCTGGGTGGAGGAAGGGCCTCTGTAATGAACAAATCTAAACTAATTTGAATAAAAAAAATGTTCTTTTTGAAATTACACTCACAAATAAACATGCCTGAAGTAGGGCTGGGCGTTATTGACCAAAACTTATATCTCAATATCTTTTTGCTGAATTCCGATATTCGATATAGATCTCGATATCTTTCCTCCTGTAAAATATTTACAAGTTAACTCACTTCAAGCTGTCTTGAAGAAGAAGAAAATATCATTTCTATAGCGCCTCTCAAGATAAAAATCACGAGGCGCTTCACAAAAACAAAAAATATAAAAAATTGTAAAAATATAAAAAAGCACTTAGAAAATGCTTAAAAATATATTCAAAATGAGCAAGAATAAGCAACTGAGATTTAAAAGAAAAAATGTTAAGAACGAGAGAGAGTGAATAGGAAAGAGGGAAACCAGTGGATCCTGAGGAAGGTGGATTAGGTGGGGAGAGCAGAATAAAGAGAGTGGTGAAGAAGGTCATACAAAAAAATTGAGAAATTATAAACATAAATCAGTAGATTAAATGCATAAAAATGTATTGATTCTTGTCAAACTTTAACGTGGTACAGCTGTCTGTTAACACACACACACACACACACACACACACACACACACACACACACACACACACACTGAAGATCACATGGGTCATGCACCGTGGAGTTATTAGTTATCAGGGCAAACATGGCTGGAGTCTAACAGTGTTGGCTCATATCAGCGATTATACTGTAATGACTCAGAGTCTCTGGTCGCTCATTTATGAGTATTATTTTCGGGCTACTGTCGCCATAACCCACGCCTTACAAACTCTTACCTTTTTCAACAGAATCACTCGTAATGGAGTATTTACTAGCAAAACAAACCAGAGCGGAAAAAACGGAACCGGAACAACATTTCTAAACCGTTCAGCTCGCCTTCAAAATAAAATGTTAACCCCATAGTTTACTACTCAAACCCTTACAATAAGTTTGAGGTTATTTGGCCACTCCAGCAATCCGTAGATGTTTCCTCATTAGAGGGGAGGGAGGGGTTTGGCTCGTCTCTCCGCACAAACAGGATGGAAAAACAGAACTCCGTTGACGTTGAACGTCCCCAAATAATTAAAAACCAGGACGCCAAATGCAAAGTTTAGAGCAGCACATTAGCCCAGAGGCTCTCACATTGAGCAAACTTGTGAGAATACACGTAATAGCTGCTTAGAGACGGAGCAACAGGTCGCTAGCATAGCGGCTAATCGCTAGCATAGCAGTTTGACCACTTATATCAATATAAAGATAAAAAGTCATCTTGTATCTTGTTTAAAAATTATATCAATATTTTAAAAATACAGATATTTCACCCAGCCCTAGTCTGAAGATATTTCAAAATCTGAATCAGCTTTGTTGTCAAGTACGTGAGTTAGACTCGTGTTAGCGGGAATTTTTTCAGTGGCTGCTGTGGTTCATTATAAGTACTACTAGTGTTGTCAGTGTATTTATGTAATTATAAAACCTACTTTTGGTGATGGGATTACAAAAGTAAATCAGGTCATTCAATGAAAAAACTGCTGTGGATTCTGGTGTGTTTAGATACTCACGGTGTTGTGGAAATCCTCAATAGTAAACTCAGTGAAGCCCTCGCTAACCAGGTCAAGTTTACTTTTAGCTGCGACTGCTTTAAACCTGAAAACAGAAACCACTGGTGTAAACACCCACAGAGAGAGAGACCAGAACTCCATCTGCGCTCAGACACACGGTAAACTGCTGCCAATAAACAATAAGCAAAAACTAACCTTAATTTTAAACAAACTGTGATTTTATCCACATCAGTAGCACAAAGAGTCAAGCCTGATTTATACTTCTCCGTGAGCAACGGAGCGAGCACACGGAGTGTCGGAAAGGTTTTCACATGCCAACTTCTGCTCAGTATTCCCCGCCAGGACACCAGAGGGCGTAGCACTGTTCTGTGGTATCCTGCCACCATAAACCTCATGTATCCAGTCCACGATAGTGTATTTACTAATGTGTTTATATATTTCAGATATTTTATAACACGAACAAACTTGTCCTTCATTCTCCTCCAGCTCTCCATACGATCGGCGCCTCCAAACCCACGTTTCCCGTAGTTTCCGTCAATGTTTTCTCCGTATTTTGTACTCCTTCACTCACGGGTGAATAAACTTTTCATATTTTCTTACTTTTTCCGTGATGCATTCTTCAATCTGTCCTGGGTCTGCCGCTAAATATCCTTTTACTTTTTTACGGGGCAACGGCGGTCCTGGTGACGAATATACAGGAAGCCGTGTCTTGAATAATCACGAGCTTGCAGTCTCCGTCATTTTGGACGGATGTTTAAAATTTTGGGCATGTCTTCATCACCCTCTGTGAGCCCGTCAGAGCATAATGGCGTTGTGTGTCCTGACACAGATGGAGAAGTATAAATAAGACTTTATTTTACTCACCTCTGAAGCTCTTTGCTGTCATCCAACAGTGACTCGAGATGTGCAAAACCAAACGCTCTGTAGAAACAGTTTCCATCTGGCCGTGTCTTACGAATGTACGAGTACTTTTTGTAAAGGTCCTGCAGCAAAATACACAAGAGTTCAACAAAAACACTTTGTAATATCAAGCAAAACCAAGCTGGAGGGTAGAAGCAGTGTGGATAAATCAGGAAATGGAATCAGAGGAAAGGTGATTTGGGTTCAGGCGGAAACCCGAGAGAAGGCAAGGACCGACCTTGATCTTGAGCTGATAAACGACGTCATCCTGGGCATATTCTTTCTGCAGCACTGACAGCTCCTGTCTGTCCGACACTAAAGGGTTAGTGTTTGCTATCTGTAGACACACACACATGATCGGGCGCGCACACACACACACACACACATTTGTAGTTAGTGCAAGTATGGATGACTACTGAGGTCTGAGAGGAAATCTATTAATAAAACATCTTAGTGCAAAAATGTCTGTACAGCATTTATTTAATAAAAGTGTGTGTGTGTGTGTGTGTGTGTGTGTGTGTGTGTGTGTGTGTGTGTGTGTGTGTGTGTGTGTGTGTGTGTGTGTGTGTCAGAAAATACAAAGTTGATTTTATTCAGGTCTCTCTGGAAAAGTCAAGTTTTATATTAATTATTAACATTATATTTCAGCTCAAGTTGCCTTGAATGAAAAATGCTCATAAATAACAATCTTTGCTGCTTTTGGTCTGGGTCCTCTGACCTCTGTATCAGTTGTACAATGAGATGTGACCTTGCCAAAAAGAGAAAAGGTGCCTGACCTCCTGCTGAATCCTGTCCTGTTGAGCAATGATGGCCTCATCATATGCAAGGCAGTTCACTCCTGGGAAAAACACATATGTGTAAGGTTTTAAATAACCGCTCTGTATTGGTGAAACAAAGACATTTCTTATGGGATGTGGATGACACATTTCACCCCTGTAACATCAAAACCATGATTTATTCATTTTGTTGTTATTAAACACAAGAAGGTAACAGTTAGCCATGCTTTACTTGTTTGTTGTGGATATTTGTAGTTAAAGGGACTTTAGGGAGTTTTGAATTTTTATGCTCGTGATTGCCCCCTCTGGCCAAAAGCGTAATGGCAGCTTCAATAGTAGGCTCGTGTACGAGGTGCGCATGCTGTACGTGCACACTCCTTAACGAAAATAACAGCTGAGACGAAGCTCTGTGAAGCTGTGTGTGTGTGTGTGTGTGTGTGTGTGTCGGAGGACAGGAGAACGTGCAGCTAATTAATTAAATAATTTGGTTCTGTACTTTTCTCTTCAGCACAGCCAACAAAGGTCAGTCCTCCTGCATGCTCAGATCATTCCATTCCTTTACTTGAAAAATTGTTCCAAAATGAAAGTTGAACCCACATCTTTTTTCATCTGTGAATTCAATGCCGTTCGGCGAGTCTCAGATAAAAATTTGGGCATTTTACTGTAAAAAAATATATCATTGTAAAAACGAAATTCTGAAACAACCATGTTCACGTCGAGAATCGAACCGGGTCTTCTGCACAAAAGTCCAAAAATTTGCTAGGCGAGCTAAATCGCCAGTGGTGTCTACTGCGTCTGTAACATTTATATCCTTGATGACAGCTGAAACAACGTTCAAAGAACGGTTCGGAGGGCGATGCCTGAGCGTGAACGCGCATGAAGCAGCCTGCTCGACCCGAGCATCTCTCTTTTTCTGTGATTTTACAGAAAAACAGGCAATCACAGTAAAAATGCCAGGGCTCATTCTACAGGACCAGGGCATTGCAGGAGAATGTATGAAGAAGACATTTATTATTTCTATACATGTTTTGACTGTCACACTTCCATAATGCCCCTTTAATGTAAGTTTCTATTTAAAAAATGTTTTATAGGAACCAACTGACTGGGTTTGCACAACAGATCAAATATGTGTAATAATAAAGAGAAACAAACCCTTTCAGTGTTACTAAACTTGTTAAACTAAAAAAAATATTAAAATTTGTGTTTGATGAAAAGGTTAGACAGGTTTAAACTGGTTACAGAACCAGAAGATTTCCCCTTAACATTTGACCGTGCAACTATTTCAGGACTGGGTTCATTCTAACGTGGTCTCGCTGCCATAACAGTAACAAACTTCACAAAGGGACCAAATGTATTATAAACTACAAATGAACTAAAGCAAACTCCAATATCATACAACAGTGTGTATTTTTATATTGTAGTGTCTCTGGACAACTTGTGTGATGGTGCTTCTTGTAGTTTTATAAACTGTGTGATATATATATATATATATATATATATATATATATATATATATATAATTAATTAAATTAAATCGGCTCTACTGAAGAAATTTATCGGCCAAAGCTAATATAAAAAAATTGTAAATATTGACCCAATATATTATCCTATCACTAAGTTACTTTTATTATAAATGAATCTGAACCCGCAATGCACACAGTCTTTTTTAACTAATGCTGATTAATGATTATTCAGTTAGAGACACAAAGTTGCACCTGATTCATTAAATTGGTATAACATCCAATTTTATTGTGTTCTGTTTTATAAAGTTTTACACTCGACTACAACTCTGTCACTTTCATGAGTCCACACAGACCATGTCTCAGGTATCAGGACAATGCACGACATGTTAAATCAATTGTAATATGTGACATTGTCTCTGGTACACACGACAATGAATCTGATGTTTGAAACGACGCATAGTTTCGTCATTCTGGAACAAATTCTCTGAAAACCGATAGCTGAGTTAATGAAGCAATGAAAGGGGGAATTAAGAACTTCATTTTCTTAGATTGAGAAATTCTTCTACCCCAGTGACCATGAAAGAACATGAATACAAGTTGATCCAGTCCAGAACACCGCAGCTAATCTTGGCTAGCATCGAAAACAAAACGTATTTTGAACGCAAAAAAACGTCACTGTTCTCCAAAGATAAATTAAGCTTATATATTCTGCCTTAACACTGAGCTCATACATCTGATATTAATTTAAGTATAAAACCGCGTAACTGTCATGTTTTATTTCTCTGTTAATCACTTAACAACCGTCGTTTTTCTTTGTGTTGCAGCGGCTGCTTGCTAGCGTTAGCTAAGCAGTTCTGGCCCTTAAGGTGGAATGTCAGCCACCTTAAACTCGGAGAGGGGTGGATTAAAGCGGGCTGCGGACTAACATAAACGTGGGCTTCACCTGACAGGGAAATGACAGCGCAGGTGAGAGAATATTGGATGGTTCAAATCATTTCGTTACCTTCCACCTCTCCCTGTGATGATTCCTGCTGTTCCTCCGCCATCTTAGCTGTGCAGATCTGCTTCCTCCTCCCTCGTGACCTCAGACGTTACACACTTCCGAGCGGAAAACACAACAAATAAAATCCAATTATTCGATCAACAGTCGAGTAAAGCAACGAGGGCGTCGGTTTTCGTGAATAAAGCAGAAAGACCGTTATTGTTGTTAAAGTTGGTAAAGTGTTGCCTGAAAAATGATTGTTTGAAATATACAAAAGGGTGATTCTCTGAATTTGGTGTTCTTTGCGTCCCACAGGTTTACCACAAGGTTTTTCATATTAAATAAAGTACAAATGGAAAGGTTTATGTTTCTCTGTATTATGATGCACAAACATTGTTTAAAAATCATGTTTTAAGACTTAAGAGTAGAAGTCAGCCAAGAGCACGTCCCCTATGACCAAAGATGCTTTATCCGTTATTGTAGCCTTTCTGGTCGGGTTTTGTTTTGCCATTCTCCTTCAACCCAACAGAAAATATCTGAGAAAAATATATAAATTATCTGTGAAATTGTGCAATTGAATCAATTACCCAGTTTTTTAATTTTATTATTATTTTAAAAAAAAATTAATGTTCAAGATATTTCAATACAAGCTAAACATGGAACAAGATACAAAGTATCTATAAAATTATGGTAAAACACAAGAATAACACAGAAAGAATGACAAAAAGAATACAAAAAACCAGAGAGCATATTAATCAAATGTCATATTAAGTTTGTCCATAATGCACATAGTTTTAATAGCTTTTTTTATTTTCAAGAGTACTAATTGTAGTGATGTATGTAATTAGTTCTTTGTGAAATTTACCATTGCCTTTTATGTATGTGAAACTTCCCCAACAGGAGCAGAAGTTGTACGAGACATGAAACATCCTTATTAATGTCCTCACTCATCTACACACACAGCCATGGAAATGAGTCAGCATGCAGGGAAGAAGTGCAGCAGCTGGAGGACTGGTGTACAGCTAACAACCTGACCCTGAACACCAACATAACCAAAGAAAGCATCATTGACCCAAGACGGAAAAAAGGTGGAGCACCAGTGACTCACAATAAATGGAGAGTGTGTGAAGAGGATCTCACAGTTCATGTTCCTGGGCACAAACAAATCAGAGGACCTCACATGGACACACAACACCAACTGTCTGATAAAGAAGGCACAAAAACGGCTATACTTCCTGAGGGCCCTCAGGAAGACCAACCTGCCATAAAAAGTACTGGTGTCATTTCATCACTGCTGCTGTTAATCACTGAGTGTGCTGATTAACAGCATCCTGGTGTGGTACAGCAGCAGCTCTGCAGCTGACAGGAAGGCCCTGCAGAGATTAATCAAAACTAGAGAAAATAACACACCTGCCTGCCCTGGATGACATCTTCACCTCTCGCTGCCTTCGAAAAACCACAAACATCCTAAAGGACTCAACCCACCCTGCTAACCATCTCTTCAAACTTCTTCCATCTGGCTAACGACACGGGGCAATAAAAACACACGCCACCAGGCTGTGACACAGCACACCACAATAATAGATCAGACCTACCAAAAATCCAGTAATGGCACCTCTGATTAAATGCATGAAGTTGAACTGAATGGCTGAAATCAAGAGGTAACTGCTTCCAGTTCAGCTTGCGATGGTCTGGGAATCACTGATTAATGGGCTGGGCTGATTCAGGGTCTCCAAATCCAAGGCCATGAATGTCAGCAGGAAGGAAGGTCGACTGCTCCGCCACGTACGAGGCTGCGAGACACTTGCTGACATCATCAAATCTATTTGTTCAAAGTGAGTCATTGACTTGCTCTTTGAAGAGCTGCCGCTCCTCCTTGTCAAACGAGTCAGCCAAAGTGATTTGAGTATCTAATTAGGATGTTTCCTGGTCACCCCTGGAGATTCTGCAGGCTTTAGCGCTGTGTGGAGTCCCAAGGGCAGGTCAGGAATTAGCTGGAGGGATTGTACATTGTCTCCTGCCTTGGAATGCTGTTGGTTCTCCAGGAGGAGCTGGAGAGTCTCTGGTGAGAGGGATGTCTAGGATTGGTTCCTGGATCAGCAGATGAAGATGGATGGACAGAGCTACATTGCAACAGCATTTTCCTCCTGCTGGTGAGAACTGAGTGGGGTAGAAGTACCTAGAACCCTAACCACTCTGTAAATGCAGCACATGTAATCATATGGCATTAAAAAAACTTTTGTTTAACGTCAGTTTTTTCATCAAGCTGGTGGAATGAAAATGCAGGACAAAAACATGAGCCGAGTTAATAATTCTGCAGCTCTAAACCGTTTATTTCACTTTTGACAAAAAATAATTAGGAAAAACATCTGGATTTAGGGGCATGCCCACATTTTCAGTTTGTCAATTCTTTCTGCACGGTTAACTTTGGTGCCCATACAAATCCATGTAAACAAACTCAACATGTGATTCGTGTATTTGTAGAATCACTTGATTTGAGTGCAGTTCGCTTTTCCAGCTTTTGAGACTGCAGGTTCTGCCTGTGCACATCAGGGAGCGCTGTCAGCCACTAAAACAATGCAGAGATGCAGAGTAACTCAAAATGACCAACTTAGATGGCATCGTGAAAATAACTTGAAACAAAAAAGTAATAACAAACATCTTAAATCCCTTGTGGCACATTTGTTTCCCGTTACATTAACAGAACCCAATTATACGCAAAAACACATAAAACACAACAAAAACAACTAATAATACATGCATGGTTTTGCCACAGTGTTTCAAACGGGAGATCATGTTATGTTCCTGCCAAGGCATAGTCATGAGAACGCTGAAAGATTCCAGCTGGCTGATAACTCACTTTGCTTTCAGATTCAGAATTTCTGTAGACCAGCTCTGCACAAATGTAGAAGTAGACCACTCAGAGTGAATGTGCAGTAAAGGCTGAGTTAGTCTTTTGGCAGTGGCGTGTCCAGATCTTTTAAAATGGGGTGGCTCAGGTGAGGCACAACTTTGTGCATGGGTGGCACCAATGGTTATGCTTTTTTTTGTTTTACCCCCAAGCCTTTTGTGGACAATGAAAAGCCTATTTAAAGGTAAATTAGTGTGGTGGCACCTGGGGTGGCCAGTCAGATTCCAAGGGTGGCATGTGCTACCCCAGGCCACTCCCTGGACACGCCCCTGTCTTTTGGTCTCATCTTTCTGTGAAAAGGTTCTGAACAAACACTTTCTCACTTAGATAAACTCTGGTATATAGTTTATGTTTATTTATTTAGCAGATGGAACCCGGAGTACCCGGAGGAAACCCACGCATGCATGGGGAGAACACGCAACTCCACGCAGAAAGGCCGCAGCCAAGTTTTGAACCTGCGACCTTCGTGCTACGAGGCAACGGTGCTAACAACTGTGCCACCATGCAGCCCCTATATGGTATTAGGTAACTCCACCATGTCAATGAATTCAGGTTTTCCAATAAAGAATGGAAGGATGGTGTGGAGGAAGCTAACTGGTCTGCTCTGAGTTTTTAAAAGATTTTGCCAGAATAATTAATAAATGGGGCTTTTTTGTCAATACAAATGCTACGAAATCACTTTGCATAAGCTGCTATTAAGTTTAAGGATTTATGATTGTGACTACCTCCTCTGTCCAATCAGAACTAATCTCTGATTCTCCAACGTGAGACTATAGAGAAACTGGTGAGGTATGATTGGTGAGATGATGATGAACCAAGCCCCCACAAAGCGGGTCAAAAGTTGAGGCAAACGCGGAAGTGAAATAAATTGCAGCTGTCTGGAAATGGAAGCAAGCTGCTAATCGGGCAAAATGCTGAAGAGCAAGCTGTCCAATTGAAAATCTTTCTCTGGCTCTCTGTTATTAGAGGTGGGATTGTCTTTCTTTGTGTTACATTTAGTCTCCCTGCTTTTGTCAGAAAGATCAAATAAATCCTTTTATTCTTGTATGATGTCCAAAACGTGGTGGAGCAGCATTTTGGATGTTACTCTATCCTTAATTAAACGTGAAACTAACTTGTAGTGCTCAGTTTATTCAGTTCTATCAAACAGGGACGGGTGGCTGGGCTGGACAGGAATTTAAAATATCCTTGGTATTTTGGACCAAAGTCCTCTCATCCAAGAAGCATCTTCAGTTCCTTAAACTTGGGTTAGGAGGAGGAGGCTCATAGGTTACCCCCCATCACTTGTTTCAGACCACAACTCAAAAGCTGAAGAAGCTTCTTGGCTGAAAGGCAAAACGTCTGAAGGAAAACAAAAAGTTAGTTTGTGTTCAGTTAAGATTGTCACGCCTTGGACGGCTGAGCATCTGTACAAGCCAAGCCCCCACAATGCGGGTGAAAAATTCAAGCAAACGCGGAAGTGAAATAAATTGTAGTTCCATCCTCATCCACTAGGGGCTGGTGTCAGAAGCGAGCAAATCCTCATTGACTCCCATGTTAAAAATACCAATTTCACAGCAGAAATAAACATGTTTACAGCCTGGTACCAAAACATGTTTTTTGTTTAAATGATCTAGTTTACACTCATGACAACTCTGAGGGGGGTGAATCTTTTTCTCACTCTTCTGTTTAAGTGTATTAAAAGCCTAAAATTCTGTATAATTAATGAGCATCAGACCCACGTGACCACAGAGCTAGCTCCGTGGAAAGGCCTCAGTAGAGCCTCGGTCTGGCCTGGAAACTGTTCGGTCATTCTCAGTCTCTCACCTTAGACCATTAGTTGTAGCGTTTCTTTTTTGGATATTTTTTGTGCAATTGTTGGACAAAATGACTTGCTGTGGCATTAATTGCACTAATAGAGCGTCCAAGGAGTCTCCACTTCATTTTTTTCGGTAAGTAAAATTATATTTATGTATTTTAGGTTACTGCCGAGCTGCTTAGATTTTAACATGTGCTGTTTAACCATGAAATTTAAATGTAATAGGGTAAAACCCAGTGCATTTAACATAATGCTGTACTTTAGAAAATGGGTTGAAATATAACATGTTGGTAGAGCTGGGTTCCGACTATCGCCTTGTGGAGCTCTCGGGAGACCTCTGTGTTCCACCCGGTTTGACCCAGCGGTCAGCCCGGCGTATCTCTGACTCAGAAGCTCTGGTGTTGTGCACAGTTAACTCCCGTTGTAGCTAGGTTGCTACCTCCGTTAGCTTAGCTCCCACCTCCGCATTAGCTTTGGGTTAGCTTCAGGTTAGCTTGTAGCTAGTTCGACCGGGTGTCGTCAGTTGATCCCAGTCTTACAGCCCCACCCTCAGCTCCTCCTCTCTTCCCTTTTGTGGAATTGTCTGGGCTTGACGGAACCTGTGACACGGTCAAAATGGCGGTGGTGGCCACCTCCCATTTTAGCACAAAAACGTGTTATTGGACCCTATGGAAACCCATTGTCCAATATATGTACATGTCGATGTGATGAACATAAACATCTGATCTGATCCCTGTCTGTATTTATGGAGCATCCTGAACGTAAAAGCTGACAGTTTAGATTCTGCTCACATTCTACACGTGTAAATATGAACGTGTTAGTGGTTTGTGTGAATCTGTGAAAGATTTGCGACGTGATTTTATAGGCAGAAACATCATAAATGATCATGAAAACCATCTGTAGGAAAATAATTTGAACAAAAGGAGTTCCCGTAAACATTCAGACAGATTTAGGGGTCAGGGCAGCATGGTTTAGTCTGGTTGTTGCTGCGGACTCCGTTTCAGTGCTGGAGGGTGAAGCTCTCGTAGGAAAACAAAGAGTTTTCAGGCCTGGTCAAAGTTGCAGGATGCACACATCTGGATGGGATCCTGAACACCAACACACCTTTACGGTGGAAGTGTTGAAGTCTCCTTGTCTGATTTACACACTTTCCCACAACATTTCTTCCTTCTGCTGTGTTTCCGGATTCCTGAGAGTTTGTGTCTGTTGATATCCATGCAGATGTTTTCTCCACTGCGTTCACCAGACAGCTGGAGCCAGGTGAAGCAACATGGTGGTGGGAATTTTTTCTTTTTACAATATGTCTTCGTAAAAACGACGTGAGTAAATACAGCTGATCCTCTGTTTTCCACAAGAAGCTTTGCTGAAGTCGGCATGTAGAATTTTGCTAAATGACCAGATGAATTTGTTAAACGTATGCCATGCTACACAATCTGGGCTTTGTGGATCACATCCAAATGAGGATTTATCTTTGAGGGACATTTCCTAGAAGTGGATGTGCTAAATGTACTGGAGGACTCACTGTCCTCCTCCTCATCAGGGTGCTCCTGACTGGCCGGCCCTCCCAGCCCTTCGTCAACCTCATCATCATCATCCGTAGCTGATAAATAGGTGTGCCTCACAGAGATCGGGGGCATTTTGGTGTTTGAACTCATCTGTTCACAGACCTCATTTGTGTTTGCAAGAGGAAGAATGACGGATGGCGTGAGAGGAGGGTGGAAGACATTTTTCTCCTACAAAGACAAAAAGCAGACGCAGTAGTTAGTCACATTTAATCACATTATTATCGTCAGGTGAATATGCAGAGTGAGTAATCTGGGTGAGAAACGTTCCACGGGTTGGCATAAACTGGTTAGAACGTGTCTGAACACTAAACCACAGTCTGACACACTTACCAACACCCCATTTCTTTGAAGTCTATCGGCTCTGAGTGCCACCTCCTTGTTGGATCGAAGCGTCTCCCTCCCTCTGCGGGAGTTGTTGTGTAAGGATGGTCTACCCAGGGAATCATACTCCCCCCCTTTCTTCCAGCCCAGAGAGTTCGTGGATTTGGTGAAAGTCGGCTCCTGTTCGCCGAGGAAAACAGAAGTTAGTAGATTCCCCTGATCAAAATGTTTTAGGTGAGTTTGCTAAAGAAAACGATCATGTTATCGACATCAGATAAGATCACTTATTCCATTATCTACAGCTGCAGTCTGACGTTTACAGCCACTCACCATGAGCATGAATGTCACATTATTTTGTGTTTTTATCAATCAATCAATCAATCAATCAATCAATCAATCAATCAATCAATCAATCAATCAATCAATCAATCAATCAATCAATCAAACTTTATTTGCATAACACTTTTCTTACAAAAGAAAATGCATCTCAAAGTGCATTTTCAAAGTGCATACAGATTAAAGTGACCACATATTCCCATCCCTAACCCACAAATACATAAACAGCTATGACAGTTATACCCCCCATCCCACAACCCATTTGCCTGGCGCACACACACACACACACACACACACACACACACACACACACACACACACACACACACACACACACACACACACACACACACACACACACACACACACAAAACCTAAAACACAGCATAAGTAAACACTAGGCTGAGTTCAGATGCGTCAGGTAATGAATGACACACCATCAGGTGAGCCATCTGCCTCGGCAGTAGTTGACTGACGGTAGCAGCCAAGGCACCAACCCAGGGCGCCCAGGGAGGGAGGGTGGAAACCCCCCACCACCGCAAAAGCACACCCCTAGGAGCGCCCAGGCCGCCACGGTCGACCACCACCCCCAAGGCAGAGGGCCTCTCAGAGGAAACACTGGTACGAATAAAATAATTCAAATGAAAATAAATAAATAATAATTTTAATATTAATAATAATAGCTAATATGGATAGTAAAATGGCTAATAAAAACTGATTAAAGACATAGTAAAACATAAATAGTGTCTAATACTATTAAAATGGAAATCATTAAATAAATTCACTAATAGAACAGGAAATGCAGCTAAAAACGGATATCAGTTAAAAGCTAAGCTACAAAGGTGAGTCTTGAGCCTGCTCTTAAAAACATGAATGATTAAACATGAATTTTAATGACTGATTTCAAGGAAAACAACTGAAAATATCAATGATTTAAAAAAAACGTAGTTTGAGTTCAGGAGTTTTAATTCATTGTATTTTTTTTCTTAGCACGTTCTAACGTAACGTTTAGTCTCCTCTAACACTCTTCTGGCTGATATTTGACTCACCGCGGAAGAACTAGTGGAGTTCGTTTGAACAGAAACTAGTTCTGATTTGTGTTTGGGGTCGTGGTCCTGCTGGAACACACAACTTGATTCTGGTTTCAACCTGGACCATGATGATTTCGGGAGAAGAATCTGAAGGTTGTCCCACAGCATGATGCTGCCACCTCCATGCTTGACAGTTGGGTTACTTTTGTTAAATCGACTCAAACAAACGAATGTATTGTCATTGTTCCAAATAGTTAGTCGCTGTCTTATCTAACTCAAAGTCTTCTCCAGGAGACATTTGTCTCATCCATGTGGACACCTGCAGGTCACGGTCCAGCGTGAAGGTGTTACTTTTGGATCAGGAGTAACTGATGAATAACTGATGAACTTAGAATCGTAAGTTTAGAAATGGCTCCAACATATTTCCTAGCCTGTGTAAATCCACACGTCTCCTTCCTAGATCTTCACTGAGCTCCTCTGACCGTCTCATTGATCTGAGTGTCATGTGTACGCTACAAAGAAGTACCAGCTGCAGTCAGTCATGGTCCCCAACAGGAAGCTTCTCAGCCTTGACCTGTCAAGTTCAAAGACCATCTAGAACAGATGACTCATATTAAATCCTCCAGGGCTGCTGTCCTATATGTTTTAGTTGTTTCTCTGCTACAACACGCTTGATTTGAATCAATTGGGATTCCATGGAACTTGGAGACAGGTAGTCTAAGGAGCTTTGACAGAAAAGCGTCTGGACTTCTTTGAGTTGCTTGAAGACGTTTCACCTCTCATCCGAGAGGCTTCTTCAGTTTTGTTCCCTTTTCGGGGGGGGGGGGGGGGGGGGGGAGACTCCAACTGGGTTTGAATCTGGGACTCTCCACCATTTGACCTTAGAACTCAATCCTCACCTATGGTCATGAGCTTTGGGTAATGACCGAAAGAACGAGATCGCGGATACAAGCGGCCGAAATGAGTTTCCTCCGTAGGGTGGCCGGGCCCAGCCTTAGAGATAGGGTGAGGAGCTCGGACATTCGGGAGGGACTCGGAGTAGAACCGCTGCTCCTCCGGATCGAAAGGAGCCAGTTGAGGTGGTTTGGGCATCTGGTCAGGATGCCTCCTGGACGCCTCCCTGGGGAGGTGTTTCGGGCATGTCCTGCCGGCAGGAGGCCCCCGGGTCGACCCAGGACACGTTGGAGAGGTTACATCTCCAATCTGGTCCGGGAACACCTTGGGGTCCTGCCGGAGGAGCTGGTGGAGGTGGCCGGGGAGAGGACGGTCTGGAGCTCCCTAGTTGGGATGCTGCCCCCGCGACCCGGACCCGGATAAACAGAGGAAGATGACGACGATGTTTTAGAGCTTTCAGAAGCGCTTTACACAAATAAATGTTTACATTTGAGGATTTTGTCATTTGTAGAAGAGAAAAACCTCTACAATCAATTCAAACTGTTTTAACAAGTAATAAATAATTATTCTAATCTAGAAAAAGAATGTTTAAATTTAGTTGTTGAAACACAAAAAAATGAATACAGTCTTGCTCATGATATGAAAACTCGTGGTCACAGCTGAGTGACTGAGGTCAGAGGGGTATAATGCTTCACTGGTTCTCTGAGTCATACCTGAAACAGGAAGTTTAAAGCAGTGATGTCATATTAAGAGTTCACCTGACCTTTTGTTACACTCTGAACTTCAGCTGAACATACTACAGTATTGCTTGCTTGGGGTGTTCAGTCCAAAAGAGGCTAAACAGCATCAGTTAAAAAAGAAAGCCAGATGTACGAGGAACGTCTGGTTATTAACGATAAAGACATGGCAGATACATCAGCATCTGGTTCTACAAATCAAACAGCCACTCAGGCCGTATTCATGTGTTCACTTGATCATTCTCACAACAAAGTGTTCCCTAGTACACTACATAGAGAACCCCATGAGTGGTATGATTCATGTTGCGGGCTGACTTTCGAGTCCTGTGTTAAGCTCAGGCAGGATTCACCTCAACAAAACATCTGAAACCCACAGAAAGAAAAGGGCACGCTCAAAGGGATCCCAGCCATTTAGAACTGTGTTTGTGTGGAAATGTTGTGAATAATGACTTTTTTTACCAGCTGACCAGAAGGCATCCTGAACCGCCTCATTTCGCATCCTTCAGGCCTGATGAGCTAATGGCTGGTCCAAACATTGCAAAAACCAAAGTGCGTTGCTGCTATTCTGCCTTAATCTACTAAATGTAACAGTAGGTCTAAAAAGTTATTTTATTAATCTCTACAACGACATGCTTGACATTATTTTGGCAGGAGAAATGTTGCCGATACTTCTTACGCCTGAAATTAAAGTGAATTCATGTGTAACATTATTAGAGTTCACATTTGCTTTAATTTTGCACATTGCGATGCTGTTGATGGCTGAAGCTCAGAACCTGGTGGAAAATAAACAAACAAACAACCCAGGCCCAGGTCTTACATGCATATTTAAATAGGCATGTCAACTGACCAGACTGGAAGATGATTTAGTCGTCGGGTTCTCCTCCAAGTCTCCAATGAACTGTAAAGGAACACAAGACAAAGTTAAAAAAAAAAGAATAAAAAAGCTCCCACTAAATCCCAGGCCTTTGTAAACAAGAGATTTCAGATGATCGTGAGAATGTTTGCGTAATAAAGTGTGTGGATCATGTGACGGCAGCCTGAGCCTGGATAGGTTATAAATTGTAAGTCGCTTTGGATAAAAGCATCTGCTAAATAAATAAAAACATAAACAAAAAACATGTGCAGACCCAACAGGATCTGCAGAAAAGTGTTAAAGAAGAATTCAGTACCAATTTACTGGACTCTGTGAGAGTTTCCATCCGAGGTGAATAACCAACACTTTCGATCTCTCTGCTGAGATAAGAAAGATAAGTTAATCCATATAAAGGTTTAGATTGAGTGTTTGTGGTTATACATTCTTTCTGTCAGTATTTATCTCCACAAAGACTAATTTCTCCTCTGATAACAAATTGAAACGTTCTGCTGTGATAATCGCTCTAATCTAATTACTTTTATTCTTTGTAATGTTTGAGTCTGAGTCAGCTGTGGAGATTATTAAAGCTATTTCTCATCTCGTCTTAATTAACATGTAATCTCTTACAGCTTCTCATCCAGCGAGGCTCTCAGTCTCTTGATTGTGCTCCTCTGCTTGCAAGTGATCTTGAGGGTGAGGATGAGCATCAGGATGAAAAGCACAGCAGCCCCTGCCCCTAAATATATCATCCCTCGATTGTCTGGGACGTCGCAGTCCTCGGGAGGACACCTCACCACTGGACACAGGTGAGATTACACGTGTTTACGAACACACTCCTGGTTTGTTTTGTCGTGACATGTCCAAGTGTACCGTGTTGACAGCCACCTTCCAGAGAAATCTCCACCTCTGCCTTCATTTCGCCCACGCTGTTCTTTGCCACGCACTGATAGGTGCCCTCGTCTGACAGGTTCAGGGGTCGCGTGAACTTCAGGGAGTCAGCAGTAACTTCTGCTCCTGCTGGAAGCTTTCCACCAATTCTACAGGAAAAACAAACATAACACATGACAACAAAGTCATATCAGCTCTTTGGTATCTAGAGTTTCTATTCTCTGAAGCTTGTTCTAATAAAAACAAGCTGCAGAATAACACCGTCCTCCCCTTTCCATCAAATGTTTCTCTGTTTTCAGCAATTCCTGATTTATTCCCTGCTGTCCAGAAGCAAAAGGATTATTGATGTTGTGTTTCTGTCCAACTGTTGCAACACATTCTCACACCCAAAGTGTCAAAATATGACGCGTGTGACCAAGCCTCAATATATGACGATTCGGGATGTCCCAGCGCGTCAGGAGACGACGATCAGGGACACGTGGCACCGCTGGCGTCAGTGTTTGACGCCCGCGGTCACACGGGCATTATTCGACTATTTAACCTTCCCCTCACCCCAATCCTAACCTTAAGGTCAGTAACTGTGAAGTAGGTCAGTAACTGTGAAGTAGTTCTAATGTCCGTCTCACCACCGGCGTCGGATACCGACGCTCTGGGACGGTGCGTCATCAGTTTGTCCCTGATCGTTGTCTCCTGACGCGCCGGGGCATCCCTAAGCGTCCTATATTGAGGCTTGGTCACACGCGTCATATTTTGACGCCTTGGGTGCGAGAACGTGTTGGTCCGACACAGCGAACTGACCTAACCAACACATACAGGTTAATCCATGACTGATCCAGGTTGTTAGGCACTGTAATAAAATTCAAAGGGCATAAAAATGAAAACGCACAAATTGCTTTCCTGAAAAATATGTTAAACAATGCAGAAAAGCAACTTGTGACTATGAACAGAAAAGTTCAGAACATGAAAATGAGGAATGATGGTTTCTCTTCTTAAAGAATTGTAAACTAATAAACACTGTCAATGCACATAATTGTCCTAGCCATTTGTAAAGTACCCAGTTCTCTCATCTGCTGTCAGACCGTGAGATAGAAACACCATTTCCTCTATTAATCCGTCTTTTCAAGACAGCTATTCTGTTCAAACTGTCGAGGAAACCGTGTGTCAGAATTTCAGCTACTGCGGTGGGTGTTGATGACATAAGGTATAAAAGAAAGAAAGAAAGAAAGAGAGAAAGAAAGAAAGAAACAAAGAAACAAAGAAACAAAGAAAGAAAGAAAGAAAGAAAGAAAGAAACTAAGAAAGAAACTAAGAAAGAAAGAAAGAAAGAAAGAAAGAAAGAAAGAGAGAAAGAAAGAAACAAAGAAAGAAAGAGACAAAAAAGAAAGAAAGAAAGAAACAAAGAAACATAGAAAGAAAGAACGAAAGAAAGAAAGAAAGAAAGAAAGAAAGAAAGAAAGAAACAAACAAAGAAACTAAGAAAGAAAGAAAGAAACAAAGAAAGAAAGAGAGAAAGAAATAAAGAAACAAACAAAGAAACTAAGAAAGAAAGAAAGAAACAAAGAAAGAAAGAGAGAAAGAAAGAAACAAAGAAAGAAAGAGACAAAAAAGAAAGAAAGAAAGAAACAAAGAAACATAGAAAGAAAGAACGAAAGAAACAAACAAAGAAAGAAACAAACAAAGAAAGAAACGAACAAAGAAAGAAACAAAGAAAAACAAAGAAAGAAACAAACAAAAAATAAACTAAGAAAGAAACAAAGAAACTAAGAAACATAGAAAGAAAGAAAGAAACAAACAAAGAAACAAACAAACAAAAAATCAACTAAGAAAGAAACAAAGAAACTAAGAAACATAGAAAGAAACAAAGAAACTGAACTAAACAGAACGTTTTATTCACACGTTTCAATGCAGTCCATCACACACCGCGAGCGTCTCGGCTGCGGAAGAGCTTCCTCGCTGTACTTCCCTCTAGACTTGCTAGATCAAAAAATCCCTCTAAACTTCCGCCATCCTCCTTGCTTGACTCGAGACATCAGAAGTTCCTTCGAGACATCAAAGATCTCGATTTGTTTATGCAATCCACCATTAAACCAAAAAGAAGGAAATTACGTTTGATGTCATATATTCAATTTCAATTCAAGTTTATTTATATAGCGCCAAATCACAACAAGAGTCATCTCAAGGCACTTCACATAGTAAATGTGAAGCATATATGATGTTGTTCCTCCCCACTGCCAGGATTAAAGCCATAAAAACACAAAGCTGCACTTCTGGAACGACGCCCAAGCCGTTAAGTCACATGAAAGCTACATATATATGAAATTGCATTGCTGTAATACTTTTATTTTGAAAACTACTGGGGAATTTACACTGAAACTGTGTGTGATTTCTTGTCTAGCCCTATGTTAACTGCAGAAATTGACATGTTCCAGAAGCAGCTCACTGTAAAAATAGAACCGAGTTTTATTTTTAGCGGCACAGCGTGAAAAGTTTCTGAGACGCGTCTGAAAATCCCCGCGTCTTGGCTGTCGTTCCGCGCCGCTGATGTTTCCAGTGTGGAATAGGGGTTATGCTTCAGTTTCACTAAGTGAGTTGGAGCGGATTGTCGTGGGCCGGTATGAACCGGTTTGGGTTAGTGATTTCAGAACAGCATTTTTATCACCAGTTGAACTGTCATTAAGCCTAAAAGCGTATATGTGGTCATCACTGACAATAGTTGAAGCCGACCAAACCTTGCTACTACTTGTTCACATCTTCTCATATCCATGTACAAGTGGCAATTCAAACAACAGGACTCCGGAAACAGAAAAATGTCACTGCTTGCGACAAGCAAAATAAGCACCAATCAAACAGAGTGCTGTACGGGCTGCCGGGGGACCTCAGGGCTGCTGAGAACGTTCATGTTTTTAGAAACAGGCTCAAGACTCATCTTTTTAACTTATCTTTTAAGTGAATACTATCACTTTTTAAATTATTTAATTACTTAGGTTTTTTATTTATCTATTTTTTTTATTTATTTAATGTATTCTGTCTTTATAAGTGTTTTTTAAACAGTTTCTTTACCATGATTTATGATCAACATAATTTTAATATCTATATAACTTTTTATATTACAATTCTCATTTTAGCTCTTTTGATTTTATATTTTAACCTTAATTTAACCTTTTTCCAGGGCTTCCTCTGTGGGAGCCCTCTGCCCCGGCGGCGGCGGTCGGCTGTGGTGACCTGGGTGCTTTCCATGTGTGCCTAGATGGAGGTGGGGGTCTCTGCCCTCTCTGCCCTGGGCGCCCTGTGTCAGTGCCTCGGCTGCTGCTGTGGGTCTGCTGCTGCCGGGGCGGATGGCTCCCCTGATGACGTTTCCTTATCTTAGCTGGTCTGGCTCATCTGATCTCAGTCAATCGTGTTTTTTTACCATGGGGAAGGGGGCATGTGTGTGTGTGTGTGTGTGTGTGTGTGTGCGTGCATGTGTGCGTGCGTGCGTGTGTGTGTGTGTGCCAGAGGATGAGTGTTGTGAGGGTTTTTTTTATTGTAAGACTGTTTTTAAAATTCTGGGGATGGGAGGGAATGTGGGGCCTTTTTAATTTGTCAAGCACTTTGAGTTGCATGTATTGTAGGATAAAGTGCTATATAAATAAAAGTTGATTGATTGATTGATTGATTGTGTGACCCTGGCTGCTCCACCCTAGCTGCACCGCTCCAATGATCGATTGACCTACAACTGAAGGGGGCCCATGAGTTGGTTGTATGGCCCGCTTTTACTGCAGAAATAGACAAACTAGGATCTCAACCTGCTCATCCTGGAACCCTCAGCGGAACCGATGACCTGACAGAGAATGGATGTACATTTTTTATACATATTTGGAGTGTTTCTAGAGACAGTAGAGTCCTTCACTCAATCACCTCATACTGGTCCACAACTCGTCATCCTCGCCTCAACACTGGCCGGACTGCGGACCTTCGCTCGCTAGCCAGCCTGGCGAAGACAGCAACCTTCAACCACAACAATACCGTCAACTTCGGCCTCCTGAATGTCCGCTCTCTCACAAACAAGGGTCAGCTCATTCAGGACCTCATCACCGACCATAAACTGGACTTCATCGGGCTCACGGAGACCTGGCAGCAACTTAACGACTTTTCCCAACTTAACGCTTCCGCTCCCCCCGGCTTTGTTTACCTATCCTATCCACGTGGCTCCGGTCGCGGGGGCGGTCTCGCGCTGCTCTATCGCGAGAAGTGGAAGGTGCTGCCTGTCTCCACTCCTGCCTTCAGCTCCATGGAATCTTCTGTTTTTCAAATACCCGGTCCCACTCCTACAGTTATAGCCTTGATCTACCGCCCACCCAAGCCCAATAGTGACTTTTTAAATGACTTCTCCTCATTACTCACCCAGCTCACTACCCTCTCCCCCAATGTCATTCTGCTTGGTGATATAAATATTCATATGGACAACTTGAACCTCCCCCTCACCAGAGACTTCTCCTCCTGCCTCAACAGCTTCGATTTTCAAACATATTCTAATTTTCCCACGCACATTAAAGGTCACTCTCTTGATTTAATCTGCTGCTCTGGTTTAACCCCATCTAACTGTTCTGCTAATGATGTAAATATATCTGATCACTTTTTTCTGTCATTCAACATCCCCCTCTGCTCTTTAAGACCTAAGCCTATCCGTCACATCTCATTCCGCAATATCAAAAACATTAACCCAGACACCCTGTCATCTATTATTAACACTATATCCATCCCTAGTTCTGCTTCTCCTGACCATCTTGTTTCTCATTATAACTCCACACTCCACAATATCTTGGATTCTCTTGCCCCAGTCAAAACTCTGTCCGTCTCCTTTACTAACTCTGCCCCCTGGTTTACCCCTGAACTCCGACAGATGAAAGCCAAAGGACGTCAACTCGAACGCCTCTATAAACGAACTGGTCTTGCAATACACAAAGAAATGCACAAAACTCATCTGCTTCAATACTTGGACTCAATTAAACATACAAAATCTGCTTTCTACTCTGGATTGGTTTCCTCCAATGAAGGCAACTCCAGGACTCTGTTCTCAATAATGCGCAATATTTTTCATCCCCCGGACTCTCTACCCCCCCACCTGTATTCTGCTGACTCATGTAACTCTTTATTATACTTCTTTATT